TCCTGAATGCATGTTATTAACAACATATTTAAAAAAAAATCGGGCATTTTTGGAAAAATATCCACTTTCCTTCGTGTTCACAGCACGTAGCACAAAACATTTTCGCTAATATTTATTAACAATAAATTAGAAATTCGCGAACATGTGCTACTTTTAAGCCAAAACGGAGCTCCAGTGTTGCTGCTACCAGACCGGAATCAAAACTAAACACAGAGGATGGAAAAATTGACCTTTTATCAGGTAGCTCACGTGACAGTGACGTCATCGTACGTCACGATGAGATTGCAAAATTTTTTTTTCATATTTCAGATCAGAAATTGTACATTTTCGGGGTTAATTTAACAATGTTTAAACAAACTAATTTGTTTTTGCTAACCTCGTGTTCTTAGGAAGATGGATTTCGGTTTAATTATCATATATTGATATTTATCATATTTGAACATTATGAATTCTATTAATTATGTTTAAATTTTATTTAATTATATCGCGAAAATGTATAGCTTTGACCCACCAACTTCAATCGTTTCGAAAATTTTTCCAAAACTTAAACATTGTCGAATAAACGAATCACGGAATCCGATAAATTAAAACTGAAGTCGTACTTACCTCGTTTTCGGTCCTTTTCGGAAAAATATCCATTTTCGTTCGCGTTCACAGCACTAACACAACATATTTTCCGTAATATTTATTAATAATAAAGTAGAAATTCGCTAAAACGCTCCACTTTTACGCCAAAATGAAGCGACGATCTTGCCGCCATCAAACAGAAATTAATACTGAACACAAAGGACCGCGAAACGTGACCTTTATACAGGTAGCTCACGTGGCATTGACGTCATCGTACGTCACCATGAGACTGCAAAAATTATTTTTCATATTTTGGCCGGGAAAATGCACATTTTCGGGGACAATTTAACATTGTTTAAACAAATTGATTTGTTTTTAATAATTTCGGGTTTGTAGGAAAACGAGTTTCGGTTTAATTATCGTATATTGATGCTTATCTATTTAAACATTATAAATGATATTAATTATGTTTAAAATTTATTTATTTATATCGTGAAAATGTATAGCTTTGATCAACCGATTTCAATAGTTTCGGAAATGTCCCCAAAATTTAAACAAAGTCGAGTGAACGAATCACGGAATCCGATAAATTAAAACTGAAGTCGTACTTACCCTGTTTTCCGTCTTTTTCGGAAAAATAACCCTTTTCGTTCGTGTTCACAGCACTAACTCAACATATTTTCCGTAATATGTATTAATAATAAACTAGAAATTCACTAAAACGTTCCACTTTTACGCCAAAATGAAGCGACGATCTTGCCGCCATCAAACAGAAATTAATACTGAACACAAAGGACCGAAGAACGTGACGTTTATACAGGTAGCTCAGGTGACAGTGACGTCATCGTACGTCACGATGAGATTGCAAAAATTATTTTTCATATTTTGGCCGGGAAAATGCACATTTTCGGGGATAATTTAACATTGTTTAAACAAATTGATTTGTGTTTAATAACTTCGGGCTTGTAGGACAACGAGTTTTGGCTTAATTATCGTATATTGATGCTTATCATATTTAAACATTATAAATGATATTAATTATGTTTAAAATTTATTTATTTATATCGTGAAAATGTATAGCTTTGATCAACCGATTTCAATCGTTTAGAAAATTTTCCCAAAATTTAAACATAGTCGACCGAACGAATCACGGAATCCGATAAATTAAAACTGAAGTCGAACTTACCCTGTTTTCGGTCCTTTTCAGAAAAATATTCATTTTCGTTTGTGTTCACAGTACTAATACAACACATTTTCACTATTATTTTTTAATAATAAATTAGAAATTCGTGAAAAGAGCCCTACTTTTAAGCTAAAACGGACTCTGATGTTGCTACCACCAAACCAAAATCAAAAGTAAACGCAGAGGACCGAAAAATCTGACCTTTTATCAGGTAGCTCACGTGACAGTGACGTCATCGTACGTCACGATGAGATTGCAAAAATTATTTTTCATATTTTAGATCAGAAATTGTACATTTTCGGGGTTAATTTCACAATGTTTAAACAAACTAATTTGTTTTTGCTAACCTCGTGTTCTTAGGAAAATGGTTTTCGGCTTAATTATCACATATTAATAGTTATCATATTTAAACATTATGAATTATATTAATTATGTTTAAATTTTATTTAATTATATCGCGAAAATGTATAGCTTTGACCCACCAACTTCTATCGTTTCGAAAATTTTTCCAAAACTTAAACATTGTCGAATAAACGAATCACGGAATCCGATAAAGTAAAACTGAAGTCGTACTTACCTCGTTTTCGGTCCTTTTCGGAAAAATACCCATTTTCGTTCGCGTTCACAGCACTAACACAACATATTTTCCGTAATATTTATTAATAATAAAGTAGAAATTCGCTAAAACGCTCCACTTTTACGCCAAAATGAAGCGACAATCTTGCTGCTATCAAACAGAAATTAATACTGAACACAAAGGACCGAAAAACATGACGTTTATACAGGTAGCTCAGGTGACAGTGACGTCATCGTACGTCACGATGAGATTGCAAACATTATTTCGCATATTTTGGCCGGGAAAATGCACATTTTCGGGGATAATTTAATTATGTTTAAACAAATTGATTTGTTTTTAATAATTTCGGGCTTTTAGGACAACGAGTTTCGGTTTAATTATCATATATATTTATGCTTATCATATTTAAACATTATAAGTGATATTAATTATGTTTAAAATTTATTAATTTATATCATGCAAATGTATAGCTTTGATCAACCAACTTCAATCGTTTCGAAAATTTTTCCAAAATTTAAACATTGTCGAGTGAAGGAATCACGGAATCCGATAAATTAAAACTGAAGTCGTAAGATAATTAGCTTTTATTTATGCATAAATTGTGCAGTGCGTTCTTTCTAACACTGACCATAGAGATTCCCAACTCAAGGTGTCTACCCCATACTAACTGATATTTTGGTGACTCGATTTTTGCCTTGATGGTTGAACACTGTCACTGTTTTCCGTTTTTGTTGTATCGAGATACTACTTGAGCATCAACTGTTACCTACTGAAGTATTAGCATCATCAAGAAAAACTAGAAATATTTTGATTTGATATTCGAGTAGATACTTCGTATTTCGAGTATGAGCATCTACTGAGTTTTATTTATATCAACCATTGTCAAAAATTTGATCGAACGTTGTTTCGACAGAACTTCCTTCGCACCAAAAGTATAATGGATTGGTGCAGTGTAATACTAAAAATAACTGTATTGTATTCCCAAAATTATCTGCGAAAATCGAGTGGGCGGTTCCATCAATTTTTTGGGGGGAATAAGTAAATATTCTTAACAATTTACCATGCTTACAATAACTTTACAACTTCTGCAAGATCTCAAAGAAGTCATTTCTTCAACTCTTGAGTTATTCTCTAAAATAAATTGACTGATCCATAAATTTTTTGGAGCCACTGTAAAAACAAATCTAAAAAATATGAATGCAATGATAAATTACGAAAATATACTGATGATGTTTTGCACATTTTAGATAGGATTTGTTCGGCAAAATCTTGAGATGACGTCATTAAGTTTTTGGGCTTGATAAACATATATATTTTGATTAAAAACCTACCATGTCAAACAGTAACTTCAAAACGTCTGCAATATTTCAAAATTCAGTTTTGCAATTCTTGATTCAATCAATAAAATAAATTGACTCAGTGATTAATTTTTTTGAGACACCCCCTATAAGCAAAACCAAAAATTATGAATGGAATGATAAATCACAAGTATAGTCTCATCCTATCTTGGACATTTTAGAGAGGATTCATTTGGCAAAATTTTGGGCTGATGTCATCAATTTTTTGGAGGGGATACGTAAATATATTTTAAATAAAAATTTATTATGCTTATCATATGTTTAAAACATCTGCAAGATTTCAAAGCATTCGGTTTTGCAGATTCAAAATTAAATTGTAGGTGAAACGAAGTTCACGGGGTCAGCTAGTAAAATATAAAGATAATGAGACGACTAATTACACATGTATATCCATCACTTCTTTTGGAAGAATATGTCCGCATAATGATCATTGGCATTTTTACACAATCCACAGAGTGGTGAATTTTTCAGAATCTTAGTTCGCGAGGTTGGAAAACTAAATGTCACTGAATGACGAGCATTTCTTCTCGGTACATGGAAGTTAACTTCAGACAAAATATTGGGAGAATCTACCTGATCATGGATTATTTTCCACATAAAGTGAGCACTCTGCAAATTTCTTCTTGATGTCAAGGACTGCATGTTGTTTTAATGAAGTAAAGTTTCAAACAACTGTAGTTTTTAATGACAAAATAATACGGAGACCACACAATCGAGATATATTCTAGTTTACTACGGACAAAGGAAGAATATAGTGACTCAAGCAGGTTCGTATTTTTGAAATACGTGGCGGAACGCATTACAAATCCCAAACTTTTGGATGCAGATGAGGTTATAGCTATAATATGTTGGGAGAAACTGAGTCGATGATCAAATAAAACCCCCAAATCTCTAATGGTATCAGTTTTGACTAAAAATTGACCATTTATGTAGTAAGTAGAAGGTATAACGCTGTTATTACGACAAAAAATAAACATAGAAGCACTTGTTAGTGTTTCATTTTAAGTGATTATCAGAGCACCATTGTACAATAAGATTAATATTATTCTGGAGATGGTCAACATCATTAGTCATCTGCAAAACCAAGGATAGAGCAAGACGTGGACATTAAGAGATCATTAATGAATAACAGGAACAGCAGCGGTCCAAGATTGGAACCTTGTGGTACGCCAGAAGTGGACATGTAATTAAATGATGTATAACCATTGTAATAGACATAGTTGAGCCTGTTGATTAAATACGAACACAAAATTACAAATAATAGCAATAGGTCTATAATTTTTTACTTGCTTCTTATCATTCTTTTTAAAAATAGGTGTTATTCGAGCTCGCTTCCATCGATCAGGAAATATTGATTTCGAAATGGCCATGTTAATGATGAACGTCAACGGTTTTGCCAGAGCGAACCTGACGTCGTACACCAAGAAGCTAGGAATCGCTGATGGATGAGGATAACATATACAATGACCTTTAGATATATAGAACTATGTACTCACTATTGGTATAAATTTCAAACTCGAAATCACAATAAAAACCAACAATTTAAATTAATAATACGTAGCGATGCGATACTTGAGTAGTAGATCATCAGGACAACTGATTATATCTAAATAATGTAATATAGTATCTAGATTATGGTATTACGATGAAAAGTGCAACATATTTTGACAAGCAATTGAATGTATTTTCGAGGCGAAGCGTAGTGCATCTTTAAAAGAACAGGTTCCGAATCCAGCTACAATGCCCATAGAAACTTTTCAAATCACCTTTCGTGAATTATTAGGGAAGTTAGATTTGTATACGAAAAGCGTATAGCGGACAACAAAAATCCAAAAAGCCTTTTCAAACATATTCGTAGCAAACTATCTGGACCAGTTAGATAACTTCAAGTCAAGGATGATTCCGGTGTAGCACTCCACGAAAACGAGAGTGTTGCGAATATAAGTATTTGCAGACACATTTGCCAGAGGGGTCATGTAGAGCCTCCTCTAAAAGATTTAAGTTTGTCCAGCAAGTATAATCCGAACTGTATTGAAGACCCGAGTTTTTCTAGCGAGATAGTTTTAAGTAGACTAAAGAAAATAAAAACGTACAATTCCCCTGGTCCAGATCTTATTTCGGCCAATGTTTTGAAAAATTGTGCAGACTCTCTCGCGGTGTCACTCTCAATTTTAAATCTTTCAAGTCGGGAGAAGTTCCCTTAGACTGGAAAACAGCAATAATTCGTCCGAATTTCACAAAAGGCTATAAGTTTGATGCTTCTAATTACCGGCCTGTCTTGTGGTCAAGGCGATGGAATCCATAATATACGACCACATGATTGCATTTCTAGTGACACACCAGCCCATTCCACGCGAACAACACGGATTCTTGCACGGTAGATCTATTCAGTCAAACCTATTGTGCTGTATGTCCGACTGGACAAAAGATGCAGATTCGGAACGACCGTTGAATATCGTATATATTGATTTCTCGAAGGCGTTCGACAGAGTTCCGAAAGGCCGACTCTTACACAAATTAGACCATCTTGGACTACGGGGTAATTTGCATCGATGGATTGATTCATTCCTAAGTGATCGAACCTTTAGAGTGAAGATTGGAGACGTTGTCAGTAGATCGATTGTTGTTCTGAGTGGAGTGCCGTACTTGATCCTCTGCTTTTTATCGCGTACACAGCCGACATTAAGAATATTATATCATTAGTACGGTGGATCTAAACACCGTTCACGACTATACACAAGAGTTAACCACCCCCCTAGGTTCGAAAGTATTGCCAACCAGTGGCGGAGCAATTTGGTTTATTCTCCGTCATGACGATGAAACGAAATTAAATTTATGTAAACTAGGTATGTTTGCAATCGAGAGAGAAGGAAAATCAAGAAGATATAGAGATGGAGGAGGTCAAGAAGATGATCAGCGAACTTGTGACACAAATCAGAGATGATATGAGAGAAAGTAATAAACTACTATTGAACGAATGGAATACACAGCTTAAAGAGGAGCTTAAAACAATAAGAGAAGAATTAAAGCAAACAAGAGATCAACTACAGGAGCAAAATCAAGAAATTAGAGATAAGTATGAAGAATGGAAGAGAGCTAAGGAAGAAATGGGAAAGAGAGTGGGTGAAGTAGAAAGTCAACTAGATCGAATGGAGAGAGAAAAGAGAAGAAATAAAGTAGTGATGATGGGATTGGACATAGAAACAGGAGAGCAGAAGCAGATAATTGGAAAAGTGACAAAATTTTTAGAAGAGAAAGTCAAAGTAGAGAGTAAAGTTAAAAGCGCGTACAAAATTGCAGAGAAAGTTTATGTAGTGGAATTCGAAAACAGAGAAGAAAAAATAAATGTAATGAAATGCAAGAAGAACTTAAAAGGGTCGTCAATTTACATAAATGATGATCTGACGAAAACGGAAAGAAAAATTCAAAACAAGATAAAAGAAGAGGCAACAAAAGAGAGAAATAAAGGAAAAATGGTTAGAATGGGATATAAAAAGTTAACTGTAGACGGCAGAAATTTTAAATGGAATGAAGAAGAGGGCAGACTTAAGAAGGCAGAAAATTTTTAGTAAAGAGCCAAAAGAGAAGGAAGAAAACGAGGAAAAAGGGAAGCAAACAAGGCAAAGGAAAAGGAAAAGAAATAAAGGATGTAGATAGGGAAATCGGAAAAAGGGAAGCTGGTACAAAATTAGGAGAAAAAGGGGTGAAGGTACTGTTTTGGAATGTCCAAGGGTTGCGAAAAAAGGAAAAGGAGTTCTGGGACTACGTGGGAAAATTTGATGTTGTGGGGCTAGTAGAGACTTGGGTGCAAAGAGAAAACTGGGAGAAATTGGAAGAGACACTACCACGAGAATATGTGTGGGAGTGTCAAGGGGCCCACAAAGGAAAAGAAAAAGGGGAGAGCAAGCGGGGGATTAGTAATGAGAATTCGAAAAGAAATGCAAGAATTGGAAAAGGGAAGTAATAATAAAAACGGATTAATGAAGAAAATAATACAGCTGGATAACAATCGATGGGAAATAGTAACCGTTTATAGCAAGAAAATGGAGGAAACCAAGATAAACATAGAAATGGAAACAAAAGAAAAAGGAGTTGAAAAAATACTTATAGGAGGGGATTTTAACGCAAGATTGGGCGATAAGGGGGCAAGAATAATGGATAAAGAAAAGGGAGAGAAAAGAGGATCAAAAGATAAAGCAAATAACAAAGAAGGAAAAATATTGTGGCAGATAATAGAAGAATAGGATGGGGAATTTTGAATGGAAACAAGGAAGGAGATGAAGAAGGAGAATGGACGTACGTAGGGGCGAGGGGAGAATCAATTATAGATTATGGGATTGTCAACGAAGAGGCGTGGGAAGAAATAGAGAGTTTCGAAGTGGGGGAAAGGGTAGAATCAGACCACATGCCTCTAGAAATAAAAATCAAAGGAAAAGAGCAAGAGTACGAAAAACAAGAGAGAAGACACGAAAGAAAAGAATTAGAAAAAAGCATATGGGATGAAGAGGGAATTCAAAGATACAGAAGTAGACTAGAAAAAAAGAAATTCGAAGTAAAAGAAGATATAGAAGCTATGATGGTGGAACTGAGCAACCTAATTGTAGAAGCTACGGAAAAAAGAAAGATATACATATGGCAAGGGAGGGATAATGGATGGAACGGAGAATGTAGTGAGTTGAAGAGAAAAGCAAGGGAAAAATTAAGAAAATGGAAGAATAACAAGGGAAGGAAAGAAGAGTACCTAAAAGCAAGAGAGAATTATAGGAGAAAATGAGAAGAAAGAAAAAGAGAAAAACGAGAAGAAGAAGAGAAGACAATAAAGTCCCTGAAAAGAGAAGAGCAAGTATGGAGATATATAAACAAGGAACGGAGAAGGAAGACTGAAATCAGCGGGAAAATCAAAATACATGAATGGAAAACACACTTTATGGAATTATTGGGAGGTTGTGAGGAAAAATGCTGCAAAATAAATAGAGGAATCACAACGACGGAAGAAATGTGGAGAGGTTCGGAAATAACAAAAGATGAAATAGAAAGACAGATTGGAAGACTGAAAAGAGGAAAGGCACCAGGAGGGGATGGAATCCAGAACGAAGCGTGGATGTTCGGGACAGAAGAAGTGAAAGAAAAGATATGGGAAGTGGTAAATGGAGTTTGGAAGGGAAAAGGGTTTCCTCGGCAGTGGAGAGAAGGTATAATAATCTGATTATTTAAAATGGAGCAAAAAAGTGATGTGAAGAACTACCGAGGGATTACCTTGCTCAATACGGCGTAGAAGATATATGCAATGATACTCGATGAGAGGTTACGAAAGGAGATGGAAGCAAGGGGTATGTTACCAGACGGTCAGGCAGGGTTTAGGAAAGGAAAAGGTACTATGGACAATGTGTACACCCTGCGGCATTTAGTGGGAAGAGAAATAAGGAAAGAGGGTGGACGAATGTACGCATTGTTAATAGATTTCAAAGCAGCGTTTGATAGCGTGAATAGAGAGAAAATGTGGGAGTATTTGAGGAGAAAAGGAGTAGATGCATACTTGGTAACGAAAATCGAAGAAATATATGAAGAAACAGTAAATACGGTGAGAGTGAATGGAATAGAGAGTGAGAGTTTTTATACAAACAGAGGAGTGAGACAAGGATGCCCACTCAGCCCCGCATTGTTTGTAACTTATGTAGGAGATACAGATCAAACGTTCAGAAAAGCACAGACAGGAGGGGTGGTAGTCGGCAAAGAGAAAGTGTGGTCGTTGGCGTACGCAGATGATTTGGTGATTGTGGCAAGGAAAAGAGAAGAAATGAAAGCAATGATTAAAAATCTGGAGAAGTATGTAAAAAAAAGGAGTTGGAAGTGAATGTGGAAAAAACAAGAAAGTAAGTAAGGAGAAGGAAGAGTGGGCATGGAGAGGGAAGAAGATTGAACAGGTGAAAGAATTCCAGTACTTAGAATATACATTAAAGAGCAATAACTCAGATAGAGCGCATATTCAAGAAATGGTCCAAAAAGCGAACAAAGTGGTAGGAATAGTATGGGGAATAGGAGAGAGAAAATTTGGACATGATTATAAGAGAAGAATAATGATGTTTGATAGTTTGGTCAAAAGTGGATTCATATACGGAGCTGAGATCTGGGGATGGAGGGAATATGAAGAAATAGAGAGAGTGCAAGAAAAATACTTGAAATGGACATTGGGATTGGAAAAGTATACGCCGGGGTATATAGTGAGAGAAGAAACAAAAAGGGAGAAAATGAGAGTGGAAGCGGGTAAAAGGGCGGTTGGATTTGAAGAGAAGTTCAGTGAGTGAGGTGATTGCAAGATATTGCAAGAATGTTGGAAAGAAATAAGAAAGGAAGGGGGAAAACATGTTTGGAACGAAAGGGACAAGTATTATGAAGGAAAGGGATATGCATGTGAAGAAATAGAGAGAATGAGAGAAATGAGAAGGAGT